TGAGAAAAGGATATGTTGTATAATGATTGAATTACAAAAGGCGTGATAAGTGCTATGTTTTACAGCTTATATTATTCCATGATTGTGATAATGTTATTATTTTTCTTATATTGTTTTCATAAATTCCACCGAGGTAAGTGGATGGTAAAGGTTTTCATGTTAATAAACGAGTTTATTGTAAATTATGCTCCATTGGTCTTTTTGTGGTTTTCTACCCACCTTTATCTCCGTGACGGTGAGATATCGTGATGTTCTTACTGGGCTAGTGTAGCTCACTCCTTAATTAACCATTTCAGATCAGGAAGACATGGTTCCCGAGCCCGTTCCGCAGGAGGACGACGAAGGGGATGCCTAGAGACTCTGTAGTCATACGCATAGTTTATTTTCGAGTTTTCTTTCTTAGTTATTTTAACCTTTTATATTTTAAGTACGTTTTTTTTTTTGGTTTTTTCGTGTAAGGGATGTTAACTGAAATTTTGATCTCGCTTCCGCATTCGATATATTTAAATACTCATTTCTTTTTTAATATTTTCCGGGGCCGTTACAGTTAAACCCTTCTAGATTCTTTTTAGATTGGCTAAAACCAAGTCATTGATATTCCAAATAATATTGTGTTTGGTTTAATTTTTAGTTAATGTATTATTATATATATATATATATATTAACTTATAAAAATATATAATTTCAATCATATATTTACATCACGTTCTTATTCTCATTTTATTAAATTAAAATCTAACTCAAAATTCAATTTGAACAAATAACAAATAATAGTTTAATTGAAAAATAAAAAATAAAAAAATTCAACTCTAAATTTAAATCATAAGTCAGATTGCTTGTTGGACTATAATTTTACTAGTCACTTATTTTATTATCTAAGAACATTCAAGCTCAAAGAAATTGAAAAAAAGGAAAATATAATAAAAAATAATTTCAAACTCCAAATTGAAATTATAATTTCAAAAGGTTTTACAGTTGAATCAAATTTTGACTGAGTCTATTATATTTATTTTGGAAATAATTAATTTCTTTCAATTAAAAATATTATCTGAATTTCAATTTTTTTTAAAAATATAATCTTGAAGTTTGGTTTTTGAATAAAGAATTAATTGGGTTCGTTTTATACGGTGGAGAACTCTTACGTCGTGTCCTAAACTAAAAAGTCGACGACCATTTAATAATCACACAAATATTAAGATAGTGTTCTTAGGAAAATCAAAAGTCTTATGTTAATTAATTAAGATTATCCCCCGCCCACCGCCGAATTCAAACAAACAAACAAACTTATAAACACGAACGAACGTTGTCGGTCTTTTGCTTATTTTGTGGACAGACATCAAATTTATTATACGTACAACCATGTTTTATTTTTTATTTTTTGTTTTCTTAACATTGCAGAGGCAACTAATTTTAATTCAAATTTTTTAGAGTCAGACTCGGATCAGTCTGTAGATTTCTAAAACTATTTTATGAAATCTCATTCAATGATTATTTATTAACATCTTAATTTTGTTGGAGAGGCTGAGATAAACATTCTGGCCCAATTTTAGTCGGCCGAGCCATTATGGACCAAAGGGGAACGTGGTAACCACCAACCCCATTTGACATCGTTTAAACTTGTAAAATTATTTCTTGGCATTTTAAGAATTGGAAGTCCAATATGCCGATTAATTTCGACGACATATTTCCATGATAATTATAGAATGATTACATATAGATACATTTGTTTCTCACATATTGCCCCTTCTTTAATTAACATTTTTTAATGTCGAAAACTTCAAATTATATTTAAAAATAAAAACTATAGCAACTCGACATTTAAAAACAAATTTTACTGATTTTTATTTTTAAAGAAAATAAATTTCTAGTTTAACTACCCAAAAATCAGGCAGATTATATTCATTTAAACATTTTTCAAATCTTGGTTGAATCGTCCTTGATCTTAATTCTTTATAGAAGGCCAAGTTGGTTGTTACCTTTACAGGCTGAGCTCTGAACAACCAAAGGCCCATAAAACTCTCTAATGAAATCGAAGCGAAATTCAACCATGTCAAAAAAAATAAAGCAAAATAAAGTCGTCATTGACTGACTATTGACATCCCTACTTCGTCCATCTGCACAAGAGACGGAGGGTTTCAGTAGATATAACCTGCGCCTCCACTTCATGGGATGCCGGTCACCCAACCTTTCAAATAAGAGAGATTGCAGGTAACAAACAAATGAACATTAAATCAATACCGCAATCTTAGTTAATTCTCGACAAACATGCTGATTAACAGAAAAAGATAACAAAAGAAACGCCCAAAGTTGTTGGATAACACGGTAAAGATAACCATCCTAACAATTTATAACAACAACATAAAGCTTAGTCAAACAAGCTGAAACCCATATCATCATCAGACTCCTCAGCTGGTTCTTCCTTCTTTATCTCCTCCTTTGCAGCAGCAGCAGCAGGAGCAGCACCTGCATCAGAAGCAACTGGGGCGGCAGCAACTGCAAATTTGCTAGGATCCTACATTCATAAAGTTACAGTAAGTTTTAATTCACAACACAAACAAAACAAATTAATTTAACAGCTGCCAACATGTATTTTACAAACCTTTAGGTACTCTTTCACTTCTTCAGCCTGAGGGAAGGAGTAGTCGGTGGCAACGGCAACAGCCAGCACGTTCTTGTAGGCGTTGATGAACATGTGTGGTGCGGCAGCTAAGGTTGGGTAGGAGATGGCTAGCGATAATGCAGTGATAATTGAGACACCAGATGCAAACTTCTCAACAAGGTCATCCTCAGTGAGATCCAGTACTTCTGGACTGAAGACTGATCCATTGTCATACACAGACAGGACAATCAGACCGTAAGAGAATGGCCGAATGCCAAGCTTTAGCGAGAAGAGCAGCCTCAGAAGATCCAACCTTCTCACCCTTCTTGATAAGTTCCACAGAGGCAATAATTTCAACAGTACCCTTGTTAATCTTGGTGGGAATGTTTAGCACTTGGAAGAAAGAGGTCTGTGATGGATCAAGACCAGTGTTTCCTGGAGGGACAACAACATCAATTGGGGCAACCAATCCTACACGAGCAGGAGCTCCAACCTGTTCATTATGGAAGATCAGACACATAAATAATCTGAAGTCCACGCAAAAAGGGCGGTAAATCACATAGATGACTTTCATATCATAAGAAAGAAAAGGATGCCCTCCTAAAGCAGAAAAGATTAACATAAATTTGAAATATGTTATTTTACCAACATCGCAACCAATTATATCATACTGTTCAACATAGTCATAAGTTGATAAACTTGCGTTGCATAAAAATAAAGCAAGTCAATAAACTTTCATATAGAATTACAAAAAATCGATGCATGTGCATGCCTGAAGAAGAAAGAAAACACCTGATATTATATAAGAACGCTCAACTCAACAAACATAAAAGCAAGATAAGCAGAATACATTCAACTCAGCTCACAACTACAACGTTCCTAACTATGGAAATAAGCACTTATTATCTGGTTCTTTGATAGTAGGAAAAACTAAAAACATAAAACTTATTCAAGTGTCTCTGAGCTACTAAACATTCTCCATTTCAAATGATAACACTCATATGCCAACTTGCCTTCCGCAAAAAAACATATACCTCTAGAACTATAAGATGCTAGCACTATAGAACTCGTTAATTGATTCTTAAAGGCGAAGTTCTAAGTCACCAGTTGCAGCATGTAACAAAGAAATCACTGAAAAAGAGATTTTCATCCAGGAAAACTTAACGAGAGTGAATAGCTTAATAAGCAAACGAACCTTGTATTTGGCAACCTCCTCGCTCACTTCCTTCAAGTCGCCCTTAGTAAAGATCAAACCGACGTTTCCCTAGTTCAAAAACTAAAATTAATTCCTTCATTTCACAGAATGAATGATAACATTTTCCAGGAAAAAACAAAACAAAGAATTCCTTTCAAAAAGAAAAGTATTTGATAGATGCTACTGAGGATCAAGAAAGAACCTGAAGGAGTGGGATGAGGTTAAGGAAGGCCTTGTTGCCGGTCTTGTCGGCGTGGATCCTGATAGACCTCTTCATCATGGTGTTCTTGCCCATGAGCACGATTGAGTCGCCGCGAAGACCCTTGCGGATATTCTGAAGCTGGTTGGACCCAACGTTGTCGGCTGCCACGATCAGGATCTGGCTGAACTCGTCCAGGAGCTGACATAGCTTAGCGTCGTAAGCTATCTTCTTATCTGCCTTAGATGATTTCACCGCCATTTCTGCTTTAGCTTTGCTCTGATATACAATAGTGTAAATAACTGACTACGTAACTACACAACTCACAAAGAGAGCAAAATCGAGGGCCAAGACGAAGCTAGAGCTTAGTCAAGGCGGACAGCGGAAAGACGCCGTCTCTTTAACCTCCCTGCGAGATATGCCGAAACTGGAGAGGGAAAAACCCTAATGAAAACGAGTGGCTGCTGAAGAAGGAAAAATTAGATCGAGAGGGGATTATATACTGAAATGAAGAGGACGACCAAGATGGTGAGGGTTTTTTTTGGTTGCCCTAGATCGGACGGTCAAGGACTTCTCGATCAATTAGATCTGACGGTTGTGATATCCCCATTTTATAGACCAAATGGGCTTTTACCCGTGAGTTAAGCCCAAATAATGTAAGCCCGATTCTCTCTGAGCATTTGCAGTGGAGGCAGAAACGCAGCGTTTAGCGAACGCGCGGCTCGAATAAGCAAATAAATCTTGCATTCTCTTTTTTTCCCCTTTTTTTTGGATGACAAGAAAAAAAATCCGATATTTGAACCGCATATGACTGATTCAAACCGCCGGGAGTAATGGCCTCCACATACCGGGATCGGACGGGTGAGTTCCGATCACTCTCTCAGACCTTGAAGAAGATCGGTGGGATCACAGCAGTCGACCATGCTGATCAAGATCCTGCTACGTCAACAAAGCCGTCGCGGCCGGTCTCTTCTGGATCCGAATTCAACCGAAAGGCTTCCCAGATCGGGCTGGGAGTCCAAGAAACCGTTCAGAAGATCGATAGGCTTGCCAAACGTATACCGCCCTTTCTCTTTCATCAATTATTTTAGCTAGCTTCTAATTCTAGGTAGTCTTTTTGGTTGCTGAGAAAATGTAGAAGAAATGAACGTGTGTTGAAGAGTTGAAAATTTGTTGTTAATTAACCACAATCCAGGCTGATAAGGCTTAGCTTAAGCTATTTGGAACTTGGACAGCGTGAACCAAGAGAGATGGAAACTGGTTTTGAGCTACCTTGTAATTGAAATGTCCTTGAGAACGCAAAATCACTACACTCGATGAGTTGTTTGCATCTCATTATTAGATCATGATTGTTTAAACTCTCTAAGATATTGTTGAATTAAAGGTTTTAGGAAATGGAATTTCTCTTACGGAAACTGGAGATTTAGTGAGGCCACTTGAAGTTCTGTTTTTCTCTTGTTTCATTATTATTGCAGTTAGCATGCTTAGGAACCAATACATTGTTAAGCTTGATTTCTGGAAGTAGTCTAAAATTCACTTTTTGATCTGCAAGATCAAGAGAAAAAGATTTCTAGATGATAAAGATTGTTTCTTAGTATGTGGTAGCAATTTTGTAATTTGCTGGCAGCAATTGAGATTTTTGCTTCTGGATGTTGCTGTTATGCTGACGGACAATAAACTTCATGTTTTTGTGAACCTGCAGTAGCGAAAAAGTCATCCATGTTTGATGATCCAATAGTTGAAATACAGGAATTGACTGTTTTGATAAAGAATGATATTACGGCGATGAATGTTGCTCTGTCAGATTTGCAAACCCTTCAAAACATGGAGATTGTTGATGGGAATTATTCAGAGGACAGAGTTGTTCATTCAACAGCTGTTCTCGATGACCTCAAAAGCAAACTAATGGGAGCTACCAAAAAGCTTCAAGATGTTTTAACCACAAGAACAGAGGTTTGTGCTGGCTAGAATTGTAATCATTATTACACTACTGAGGGCTGTTTTCATTTATTGGAGCCTCTATATTTTACATGGTTTTCCACTCTGCAGAATATCATGGCCCATGAGAACAGAAAACAGATTTTTTCTACAAAAAATTCATTGCGAGATAACCAATTTCAGCACCAAGCAAAACCTACAACTGATCCACTTCCATGGTCAAGTTCATCTAGTGCGCCTGAGAGTTTGCAGCCACTGTAAGTATCTTATTTGAAACTTTAGATAGACATTGTTTTTCATGCCTCTAGATCCCCTTTACTGCCCCATGGTACTATGTTTGGGGTGATACACTAACATATAGTGGAAGCAAGGAGTTATTGTAAATGATCTTATCATTTCTGTGTGCTAGATAGCAAGGCATAGTACATGCCTTCTTAAGAAGAAAGCTGGTCATTTTCTTGTCTCAGTCAACAAGTATAAATTATTTCGCATTACATTGGATGCATGAAAGAAGCAGACATATCGTGCTTTGATCTATATGATTAACTTACCAATCCTTTTATATAATTTACAAATGGCTGTTCCAGAGTTTTAACTTGCAGGCCAACGTCGTTCTTATTTTATTAGATGGTGCTCTCATCGATTAATATTTTCTATAAAAAAGGGTTGACTGTTAATAGAAGTATGATACTAATAGATTCTTTTGTGTACTTTTTAGCACAACTTTTGCTTTAGTTACTGCTGAAGGTTAAAAAGAGTGTGATTTTGACAGTCTTGAGAAAACCTGTTTATTCTGCTAAAGTTTTTATGAAGACTGTCATATTTCATAACTTTTTAAAAATTTTATAAGCGTTAAACTCTGAGGATGTATCAACTTTACTTATGCTAGGATCATGACCTTGCTTTGATTATTAGTGTCTGATCAGCTCTCCTCGTCTTATTACTAGGCTTCCAGGAAATGGGGTTCAGTTTGGCAACCAGCTGAGGTGTGTTCTGTGTCATTATGCATTGATCAAGTCTGAGGTTTTTACCTTTTCTCTTAACAACTTTTTTGCTGATTATTCATTTTGTTTGGTCTGAATGCCATAGTATTTTGGTTGATCTTATGTCATTTCAAATCATGATTAGATCATTTGAAGTATTTACGTGGATTATGGATGCTTTAATGATACACGGATATATTGTATTTTCTATTTGCACATACTCGTTTGTAGGCCATGATACTGTGCTAATGGTGATATTTATCTCCAGGAATAGATGTGCTGATTTCTGATTGTATTTTACTTCAGCTCTTTTGGTCCTTTTATTTATTAGAAAGTGTATGGGAATGAATACTTGAGTTCAGAGGATTTTCCCTCTTGGAGGAACCAAGAAAAGAAAAAAATAATAAGGGAGTTTCTTAGAAAAGCTTAAGCAGTCTGAGAAATCTATTCAATTAACTTGCTCCTTCAAAAAAATAAAATATTAATTTTTGCAATTGAAATTATATGTTTGACTTTGGAACTGAATGTTCTGGCATGTTACAGTTGAAATTCCTTTGTTTACACTGTAAATTGTAGCAATAGCATATCTGGTAAATGTTAATACTTTAATCCTTAAGACCTTTTCACCCAAGGTTTAAGTTGGATCTCCCTGTTCAGATGGACTAGAGTTACTCAATGCAGAGGCTGTTGATGCATTTTTCACTTTATATGTGCTCTCTGTGATAAGAATTTATATATCATCCGATTGAATCCTGTGCATCTCTTTCCTCTCTTACTGCAAGTTTGCTGTTCCTCTCCCCCCACCCCCCCTCTTGATCTCTGTGATAAAGATGTTGCAGTCCAAATAACACCTTGGTCACTTCAAAACAGGCGTAGATCTGGTGTGGACAATGCTCCATCCCAGCATATGGAAATGTCCATGTTACAACAGGTAGTACCGCGTCAGGAGACTTATGCACAAAGCCGAGCAGTTGCTCTTCACAGTGTGGAATCTACAATTACAGAGCTCGGTGGAATCTTTACGCATTTAGCTACAATGGTAGCACACCAAGGGGAACTAGCAATCAGGTCTTCTAGTTTCCTTATATCTTTTAGACATTTATATCTTCTCACCTACTTCCTGTTGTTAACTGCGAAGAATCATTGGCTGCTTTCTTCTTATTTCCATGTGGTTATGTTGAGCAGGATTGATGATAACATGGATGAATCACTGGCCAATGTTGAAAGTGCTCGCAGTGCTCTGTTGAGACATCTTAACAGAATTTCATCTAATAGGTGGCTTTTAATCAAGATATTTGCCATTATAATCCTTTTTCTGATGATCTTCGTCTTCTTTGTGGCTTGAATGACATTACTGGAACGCAGTTCAATTTGTTGCTGTGCAAACTACTTGGGTTTTCACTTTAATGTGTAACCCAAATACTGAAGATTCAAGTATTGAGACGAGAGGGAGAGAGAAGGGGGGGGGGTAGAGGTTGTGACATGCTGGCAAGAACAAGCTGGGGTTCTTATTCAGTAAATTCAGTTAGCATTTGGTTGTTGCCTAATATCCCAGATGGGAAGTTCCAAGCTTAAAACTAGAACTGGAAAAGTATACGTTGTTCTTTTTTTTGCTGTGATCATGTTGGTATTTCTAAATTTATGCATCAGTCTGAATAAATTATTTCAATTGTAATACTGATTTGTACAAATTAAAGTCTTTCCAAATATCTTCATCTAAAGGAAATGTGACGATTCTTTGTTCTTTATTCTTTCGTGCCTACTCTTCTTGCTTGGATGAGACTGTACGTACAGAAGTTACAGCACTACTGCTTTGATACATATATATCTTTTATCTCAACCATTAGGTCTCAAAAAGTTGAAGTTCAAATTTTTAGTAGGGGATGACTTGATTTTTAAGGATTACAATTACAAATCTTTCTTTCATGGAATTTAGATATGTAAAGTGTGAATAAAATGGGTGGAATGACCAACAATGTATCGTTGCATTTGCCCTTTTATGGGCTACTCTGCTTGGTCTGGAGCCTTGACTGACTCATCTTACGGCTATCCAAAAGGAATTAATGTAGAATGTGGGTCTGATTTATCTATGCCCATCTGATATATTGGTAGCTATCAAGGTGTTACAGGTGGCATCCAATAATGGTTCATCAGTGGAAGATGAGGATACCTTGTTTCATGGAGTATGTCTTTGGATATATGATTCGAAAAGGGATTTCTTTCTTTTTCTGACCCTACCTGGCTCGAAAAGAGGAATGGAACCAGGGTCAAGGGACTCCATGAGAGCTGCTAGACACTGCCACTGAAGTCACTGCTGGCTTTGGCATCTTGGGGAATGTATGATTTTGAAAAAAAATAAATAAAATAAATAAAGGGTATGCGACAACTGTGCTTTCATGTATGTTTACTATACTGAGTGTCTGAAAATTCTTTGCAGTTTTGCCTCTTGTGATGAGCGAATGGGATTTTGGTTATGATGACTTAGCAGAGTAAACTTTAAGATAGAACAAGTTATAGGTAACTGGAAAATTAAGTTACCATTGATTTTTCTGTCATTATTCTTGCATTTATTTAGTGTCACATTATGTTTGGTATTTATTAGGTATTGCTTAATTTGCACTTTCATTTTTTTTTTTTTTTTTGTTTTATTACAATTGGGATTATATGATTTTATTTTTTTATAATCCAATTCCTGGACTTTGGTTTTCAGTCATTTTATTTATAATCTAGATTCTACAAATTTGATTTAGAAGCAAACAATCTTATATAAAATGAAAAAAAAGGTATAAATAATAAAAAGATAGAATTGCAAATTAAGAAATTAGAATTTGAACTATTGTAAGATCAAAATAACAGGAAACAAAGACAATGTGCTTTGAACACATTTGATGATCTTATCTCACCAACCGTGACAAATATAGAATGAAATTCATACACCAGCATATAAATAATTGAGAAATATATTCGATTAAAATTCACCTTCCAAATTACAGGTCTATAATTGGATCTTCCACTCCCCAAGGTTTTTACATATGCTGTAGATCATATATACCTTTGTAACAAACTCTCTTTTACTTCTATTTTTTTTTTTTTTTTTTTTTTTTTTTTGCGTAGATACCATATTTGGGAATTGTTATGTGGGTATTTTTTTTAAAAAAAAAAATGGAATCTTCATTTAAAGAGTATAAGATAAAGCTTAAAATTGTTGAAGAAGCAGTCAATCTTATACTCACACATTGTTGAATATATATATATATACCATATTATCTAGGAGATGGTGGGTGGGGGGTATCCACTAACTTGTTATAATTTTGTTAGGAATCTGCCTTTTCACTTCAAAAACTCCTAGTGGATTTCTTAATTTCTTGTTTGCCACAACCATTTTTGACTCTCCAATTAGATACTAACAATCAAAAGAAAACAAATAAAAATTAAGAATAATTTTGGCCATAAACATATATAACTCTTTTTTAACTTTTTCTTTTTTATTAGAGCAAAACGAGATAGGGTTTACGTGTAAGTTTTGAGAAATGTAAATTTATAATTTATAACCTAAATTTCGGGTCAGAAATAATCTTCCTTTTCACTTGAAAATAATTGGTGAGTAAAGATGTGTAAAGCCTAAATAATTGATTCAAGAATCATAGTCTTTTTTTTTTTCTCTAATTTGGTTTTTTTTTTTTCTTTAGTGAAGCAAAAATTAGATCAGTGATGTTGGGCCTCTCTTTTTCCCAGGCAATTATCTTTTTTGGCAATGAGGGAAAGAAGAACTTTGATTGCAGGGTGATAGATAGATATGAAACCAAAAAGATACAAAAGTGAGAGTTGGTTTTCACATGTAAAAAGTGATTAAAGGAAAAGAAAAGTTATTTTATTTTTTTTAGCTCTTGCTCCAACAATCTGCACAAGTTGTACAGTGGATGGCAAAGATAGGACCTCCCACATTGCTTAGAATCTTAAAAACCTAATCGAAAAATTAAATTAAACTTAACGAATTTGCTTAAAACTTAAAAGTAGGTTTAGACTTTTAAGAGGCATTTCATTTACCCAACACAGACTTTACTTGTCTCATAAAGCATTTGCAATTCTAAATTAAAAATTTTCTTTTTTCGTTTTTTATAAATGACAGAAATGTATATATAAAAATAAAATAGTTAAAGTTATCTTTAGAACAAAATAAATTATTTTATGCAAACATGACCTATTTTTTTAACTAATTTTAATAATTTACTAAAAAAATATGTAAAAATACTAACATACATACATACATGCATAAAAAAATGTCTTACACGTGTGTATAAAAAGATGAGACTTGAATCTACGGGAGTAAAATATTTATATTAATAACTTATGGTAATAAAATTTGGAGTATATGAAATATTATAAGATGACAAAGTTGAAATTATGAGAGGAGAATTGGAATGTGCTCCCCCCCCCCCATATATATATAAGTTGATGGGTATGGCATGAAATGGCAGACACAAGGCCAATGTCCCAATTAGTTTTCATGTTCCATTATAGATTTGGTAGATGCTGGAAGGTGATCATTGAAAAGACTAATGAGCAAAGAACAAAGTTGGGTTTTTTTTTTTTTTCTCAGATTACATACAGCTCTGTGGTAGGGGACTCCCTACCTAAACATTTTTTTTTTTTAGAATATTGTATTTTGTTAAATTAATTTTTACTCATTCAATTTTTGGAAAAAAAAAATAATTGGGATATCTAAATTTAAGATTAGTACAAGTAGAAAAACAAATTACCCTTTCACTTTGTATTAATATATATATATGTGAAAACTTGCAATTTTATTTCAGACAATTGAGAAGCTAAAGCTGCCAAGAGAGGAGAGAAGTGAAATTGGTATTGCAGCAATATTTTAGAGTTAGACTATTCATGAGCAAGTAATGATTTATGAGTTAAATTATATGTACATGTTCTTTTTGTTAGTTTTAAATTTTAGTGTCAAATACTTTATATTAATTTTAATGAACAAAATTTTTGAAAAAATTTATGAATACTAAATATTTAATATATATATATATATATATATATATTATTTGAACATGTGAGCATGTTGATTGTTGAGTGGGTTTTGCTATGAATTTCTATCTTTTGATGGTATATGCCCACTTTGTTTGTATTGTGTATATCTACTTTGATGTAACCTTTCCTTGATTTTGGTGCAATTACAAACTCACCTTTGAATATATTTTTCTTCTTAATAAAAAAATAATAATAATAATAATAACAACGTTCCAATTTAACTTATTGATGAAGTCATAAAAGAAATCTTCTTTTCAAATTCGAACCAATTTTTTTATTATTCATTTTAATTTTTATAAATAACATTACAATTTACTATAGAAATATAAAATTTCCATTATTTATCGGGAATTATTTGAAAATTTTTAGTTCGTAATCTTGTAATTAACTTAGAGTAAATTAATTTTTTGAGATTGATCAAGGAGGAATGACTATAAATATATTCTTATATTTTTTACTATAATAATATGTACATTGAGTATATTATATTTATGTATGCATGTATGAGCCTCATTACACATCATGATTACCATTAAATTGATGGGTCTAAGCATGTAGCAACTATTGCCTATGAGTTGGGTATGCTAATAATTATAATTATGATTATGGGCAACATAATAATTATTGATTATATTAAATGAAAAATAAAAGCCCACATCAAGATAATTTACAAATTAATGAAAAATAAAAAAAAAAAAAACAAATGGGTAATTTATTTATTTTAATTTTTTTTTTCATTTTACTTAATTTGAGAACTAACAAAGTTCATCTTTTTGCCTCATCTCTTCTCCATCTCCAAAAATTAAAATTAAAATTAAAATTGCTTTTAAAATATGTATATAATACAATGTTGTATGTCAATAATGTCCATTAATTTTATCTTTAGATATAATGTATGCTTTTTGAAGCAAATCAAAATGTTGACATAGTCCCTATCTTGTCATTCATGGGACCTTCTTGATTGAATAGTGTTTTTTAAAAAAAAAAAATTTATATATCTTTTAAAAAAAAAATAATGTGATGGGAGATTTATTGAACAATGCTTTGATCAAATCAATCATATAATTTGGGTATATCTATAATTTGTGTATATCTATATCTGGTTTCTTTTAATTGTTCAAATTGGTCAACTCAATCAAAATTAACTAGCATTTATTTTTTATTATACTTACTTTCTTATGTTTAAACAAAATAATAATGACCCCATCCCTAATTATGCACTTTGACAGCATCTAATAATAAGTGTGCAAATTAAAAATATTAATTCAAATGGGTCCAAGCCCAAATTTTAGAAAATCCATATTCTAGGACCCATAAATATCATTTTTTTTTTAATAATAAAGTAGTGATTACAATATAGTCATGCTCGTATAATAGGCATGGCCCGAAAAAAACATAATATGATATAATATAAAATAATTTTCTAAGATTAATTGGTTCTCTTTATTCAAAATTAATAATTATGAGTGTGGAGGAGACTTGAAATTGATCATGAGAAAGTTTTGATTAGAATGTACGTATATTATTAAAGTTAATGTCATACTCCTAATAACTGTGCCTTTAGAATTATAATTAAAATTAAAAATAAAAAATAAAAAATATTCAAATTTTTTATTAAAAAAAAAATATTCGTAAACGAGATAATTGGTATTTACACATTTTAGAATTAAACAGATAAATTTA